CGATCGAACACTTCGTTTGTTTATTTGTGGCTTGAAGTTAGGCTCGCAGAAAATGGCGTTCATGGGTTAAATTTAGTAGGAATAACACAACCTGTGACGTAGGCTATAGTATACCCAATTCTAACCTGGTGAGTAGCGACTTACAACACACTTTGTTTAATGTTTATTTGTTGTTAGAAATCAGGTTCGCAGAAAATGCTGTTTACTAGTTAAATTTAGTAGGAATAACACGACCTGTGACGTAGGTTATAGTATACCCAATTGGAACTCGGCTTACTCGAAATAGAATGAAAAAAAAACTGAAAAAAACATTTACTAACGCAAATAAATGCCACGTTTCAACAACCAATCAGGATTGAAATACCCACACTACGTCACTTTCATGTATCCCATTAGCAAGGTTTTTCTGAATACGTACCAAAAGTTTCATTTTTACCGCTTTAAGTTAAATAGCGCTGTCATAAGTATTATTTTTTTAACGTCTCTCTTCATTCAAAGGAAATATAAATTCTAATTACACTTGTTTAGTTATATCTCCAAAATTTTGTTTTAAAACAGTAATTGGCATATCAATCAGAATGAATTCATCATCTTCAAACATTATGTAAGAGATTTATTTTATTTTGTTGCTTAAGTTATTCATTCATTGTCAACTGTATCTATTGTTCTTCTAAAAATACATATATTATGATATGGACAAAGACTTTTTTTTTCCAACAAAGTGTTTAAATGAACACATTCGGCTTATATACCAAATCAGACTCTTGAAACAAGATTTAGTAAAATCCTAGACAAACCCATCTCTTGGCGACTTGAAATCACGCAAAGTTGGCTGGGATCAACGTAGCTTCTTGATTATTAAAAAAAGAACAATTTAAATAATTACACATTTATTCGCTAGCCATTTTCAACCGGTACCCCACAAAAAAAATTAAAAAATGAAATAATAACGGTAATAAATGAAATAATAGCGATTACTCTGACAGCAAGAGATCAAATGTAAATGACGGAAAAAATAACCCTTTTACCTTTTTTTCTAATAAAATCCAAATTTTCGCGTAGGGATGCATATCAAATAACCAATCAGGGTAAAAATATACTTGAGGGTGCCCTTAGGCGAAATTGGCGACTTATGTTTGGCGCCATTCCTGTTTGCTTGGAATACCGTGGTAATAGGAATGTCGGCCAAAACATAATGATATTTCAATAAAACATTGGAAAATTTCAACAAAACATCGACCAAAACTTTATAAAATTGCAACGAATCCAATATAAGCAAAATTAATAAACCCAATAAAGTGCATTTTGAATCGAAACAAAAATTAATGGAGTAAGCACAGAAAGGAAAAAAACAACTCACTTCTTCATTAAGTTTGAATATCCTCAGATTTAGGTGCACAGAATTCTCTAATATATTAGCAGCAGTAAGATACTGTCTAAATTTAACATGAATAGAACCTGTGTACCTCCATCGCCACATAAATTCGGCGAAATACGAATTGAAAATGTCGTCTGTGATACCGGACTGGCAGAGACATTTTTTTCTAAAGTCCCTTTTTATGACTGCCCACATACCTTCGATCTTATTGACCAGAAGCAAAAGTAACCTTACCAGCTGGTATCCTACGTAGAACTAACAGACCTTTGAAATTACATATACCGTTGAACATTTAAAAATAACGCTAAAATCTAAACCAATCAGAATCACGATTGGGTTTCAACATCGCCCAGCTTGGCGATCAACCGCTATCAAAATTTGGCGAGAATCAAGGGGCACCCTCAAATATAGTCAACCCGTTTGGGAAGATTTCAAAAACTTGCTTGGCGAAATTTAAATAAAAATCGCAACGGGGTGGGCTATTCTCGGATCTACCCCATGGTTTTCACATACACATTGATATGGCGATATATGTATTACTAAAAGAAGGACCGCTGTCGATGGTTAAAATTTTTCGGCAAATCAAACATAATAATCAATCAATAATTATCGTTTATTATTTTCAATAATTGATTAATCGAGGGATATGAGTATCATTGCCCTACACTTATGTTTTTGTAACGTTAATTTTTACTGTCCAGTTTATAGTTTGTCTAAAATAAGAATTCCCCTAACCATTCGTCTGGACCCGTGGCGGTGACTATGGTAACGAGCTCTTTCAAATAGGGGTGTGTGGTCATACGAGCGATTAATTCTCACTTGGGCCGGATCACGCTATTGGTCGAAAATGACATCACTGTTTGGGGAAGGGATATACTGTGCATTGCATAGTATTTTGGCGACTGAACTTGATTTGGCGACAGATTTTATATTTAGTTTTCAAATGCGCTCTATTTACACGTGGTATTAATGTTGAGGAATAAAGACAATATTCACATTTTGCACAGTTTTGTGGTAATTTTTTATTAGAATCTAAGTAAGTGAAATTAAGCTATACTGCTTTTACGTCATTAGCAACTGGGGCTGTTCTAGAAATCCAGGGTGGGGGGAGGCTAGCCCAGAATTTTGGTCATTACTTTAAACTAAATTTACGTGCTGCTTGATTATGAAGTTTTTAAAATTATTCATCATAACACAACTAAATTGCGATATATGAGTAAATTTGAGCTTATGTTTATTTCAATTTTTGTTACTTCGTAACTGCAAAAGATAATTCTTATGGAAAAACAAACAAACCAAGAAAAAAAAACGTATTTGTAATATTACTATACATACCATCTTATATTTGTAAAAACATTAATTATTTTTATTGATATTAGCTTTGATGAATTTAAATCAATTAAAACATAAATATTGTCTGAAATGCTGAAGTGGACATTTATCTATCTCCCCACCCTAACGACGACATAATATTAAGTAAACATTTGCAAGGAATAAATAAATTCCGAGCGAGCAAGTGTGCATACGAAATTTGTCGCCAAACTCATACAAACACAAGCCAACAGCCACCATCTCCCTTCTGACAGTGATGTCATTTTCGACCAATAGCGTGATCCAGCCCAAGTGAGAATTAATCGCTCGTGTGGTCATTGTTTAAGACAAGCTTTGGCTTAGGTCGGCGAAAGAAAAGGTAATCTTGTCCTCCTGTCTATTGTGTTATCCGTAGAGTGAAGAGAAGCTACCCTCTCTGAAAGTCTTGTTTCCATAGCAGCAGACGGTCTCAGACTGTGTGGCGGGGAGTTCTTACCGTAGACAAACTATACCCCTGCACCCATGTTTTTATAAGGTTTTACTGCTCAGTAGCTAATCCAGCGACTTTTTCTGACTGTAGTGTGTTATAATGCTAATTTAAAAGAAAGAAAAAGTGAGTTTAGGCAGAGTAAGTCATGAAATTTCAATTGCTGAAGAAAAATAATTAAGACTATTAAAATGCAAACAAATTTCTCCGTTGCCTAAGTTATCATTTATTACATTCATTTGAATATTTTCTCTTCAGAATTTGAAATTTCATGGCTGACTCTGAACTCACTTTAAATCTTAAATTAGCAATGAAAGAGAATTTGAGACAAAAAATTTCTTCCTTTTAATGGAACCGAAAAGATGATATTATACATAACGATAGTTATGAATAAATATTATTGTGCTAGCTGAAAAAATATCATAGGATAACGAAAATGTTGACAATGTAAAAAGAATATAGAGTTGTTATACTGGGGAAACATCGCGATATATTGCTGAATATCGATATTTTTGTGCTTCTCGATGTTACATTTCGGCACTTTTCTGTTATAAGGACAATGTAAAAGTAATATGGATTAGTTATACTGGAGAAATATCGCGATATATTGTTGAATATCGATATTTTTGTGCTTCTCGATGTTACATTTAGGCACTTTTCAGTTATAAGGACAATGTAAAAGTAATATGGATTAGTTATACTGGAGAAATATCGCGATATATTGCTGAATATCGATATATTTGTGCTTCTCGATGTTACATTTAGGCACTTTTCAGTTATAAGGACAATNTGCTTAATTGCTAAAACTGTTGCTCGTAACCATTTTTTGTTACATAACTTTTGGATAATATTATTTTCTTTCATGTGATGCTATTATCTCATCGATGTTTGTAAAGGGAAGAAAAGTAAATCATAGACTCTCTAAAGTTGATATCCGTTTAATTTTATGTATTAACTTCAGGCCCGGACTGGGATCTAAAATCGGCCCGGGCATTTTAGAGATATCGGCCCTCTACTTCACATAAACACCGCATGCGCTTAGCGTACGCGGCTCCTAATGTACCATTTTTAGGCATTTTTTACTTATAAATTCTCATGAGCGTAAGTTAATTTATCGAAGTAAGAAAGTAGAAAAAAATTGCTTAATAATCCTTCATAGAATATATTTCAGTTTAAAATACATGGTTCTTATAAGGAAACATAGGTTGATAAAATCAAAAAGAAGGTGAAAGAATAATAATATTTATTATAGTACACATACATGAATGATTTAAATAAAAAAAAAATTTAAAATAGATTTAATGCTTCTTCAAAAGTCATTAAATTAATATTTAATTTAACTTTTGAAGATGCTCACTATTTTCTGCCTCTTTATCGACTATGGCGTCGCTATCAAATTTCATTAATAGATCTTGTTCTATTGCAAATGCCATGAGAGTATTCAAATTATCCGAAGATGAAGTACTCTTCATTCGATTTTTAATTACTTTTAATGTGGAGAATGATCTTTCACAAGCCACCTGACTTTTTGATAATGTTAGTAAAAATTTTAATGCTAGACTAATTAAATTGTAAGAATTGATCAATAAATTGAATGTCATCTTGTAGCAACAAATAACACAATTTTTGCACGCACTGCGTGTCTCACATTTTAGACTTACTTCTTCTGTTTCCAAAGTAAAGTCGTTATTATCTTCATTTGAATAATCTTTTGTGATTATTTTATAATCTTCTAATTCTGAATTTTTCAGTTTTTCCCAATGTAAAGCTAAACTCATTTAGTTCGCCAGATTGATGCTTGTTAAAATGTTTTTCAGGGAAACGTTTCAGATCTTGATAGGAAAAATCGGCATAAAACTTTCCATTTGTCGGAAATCGACGTTCCATTGACGCTACAACTGTGCTGAAAATAATGTTATGGACGTTTATCTTAAATGCAGTGGGTTCATCATCAAAAACTGCTTCATTCGATGCTGTCTCACCCGGCATCGATTTTCTTTTCTTCAATCTTTTTCATGGAAACTTTGTTTGAATTTCAGTTTCTTTAAGTTCCTTATTTGCGCGAATAATGAAATCATCTGTAACTTTTTGTACACCTTCAAAATCTCTCACTATTTTTTTTAGTTCTGAACACGTTTGTGATACCATTCCAAAAGCTTTTAAGATGTCGAAACCATAGGTTGGCAAATATTGAGAAAGCGGTGTAGTTAATTCAAATATTCTTGAGAATATTTTGGCGATGATTACTGTTTCATATTTGCAAAATGATTCTAAAATTATTTTTGCCTTTGCACGGATATCTGGCTTGAAATTTGAATTTTGTTGTATAGTTTCTAAACTTGTAATTAATGTGACATATGACAGCTTAATAGTTGAATCTGAGTTTGAAAATTAACCAAAAATTTTCTTTAATGCAGAATCTTTGAACCACCAACGCGTTTTCCAATAGTTGCGAACCTTTTTTTATTTCCGTACTCGTTACTTTGTTCCCAGATGTTCATACGTTGGTATGATTCACGGAAAAATACTGCGACGCTATTTAGTAGGCTGAAAAACGATGCACTTTCAATTAGTGCCTTCGTGGTATCTCCTAAAACTAAATTTAAGACATGTGCATAACACCAAACATGAATTTGACCAGGGGACTCTTTGGAAAGCCATGACGAAAATCCTTTATATTCACCTTGCATATTTGCAGCCCCGTCAGTTGAATTACGGATGCACTTTGTTGTATCTATATTACAAGACTTTAAAACTGAATCCACTAAGGAAAGCATATTCTGTCCAGTTGAAGATTTACACTCTACAACAGCGAGAAGTCTTTCATATACACGATATTTCATATATTTTTTAAATAGAAACCTATATCTTATTTGACATCATTGGAGAGTTTTTGAAAAAAAATAACTTTTACTTAAAATATTTTCTAATATCTCCTACTATTTTCAAGATAATAGATGAGAAAAAATGCGTATTAAATAGATTTTGACGTATTCACTAAAAAAAAATTTTTTCGTCATAATGTCTTTTACCTTCATTAAAACACATTTGCGCTTTTCTTCCCATGTTTTATAAAAATTTAAGCGATTTTGATAATTTAAGTGAATTATTTTTGATAAAAATGATAAATTGAAGTAAATAATCAGAATTTTTTCTTATCTATTATCTTGAGAACAGTAGGAGATATAAAAAAAATTTCAAGTAAAAGTTACTTTTTTCCAAAAACCCTCTTTAATGATGCCAAATAAGATATAGGTTTCCATTTAAAAAATCAAAACTATATTCAAATTCCTGTACATCCGGCCACTTCCGGGAATTAACAATATCACTATTGAATTCCTTGGTGTCGATTTAGTTACTTAGATTTTTTATTTCAAATCGATTATTTGCTTCATTCTCGAAAAAAATGGGTGGCACGCATGATCTGAATCACTCTGTATATTAAAACAATATTATTACTACATATATCATATATATGTTATTTAATATTATTATTATTTGCGCGATATTATTTGAAATTCATGCAATGAATAAAAAAAAAAATTTTGCGCTACTGGCTCGGTCCAACCGGCCCTCAGGCCAGACCGGCCCACCGGGCAATTGCCCGGTCCGCCTACTGGCCAGTCCGGGCCTGATTAACTTTATTTTCTCAAAATTTTATTCTCCTCATCAACGTCGCCGCCATTTTTATTTACGTTTATAAACGTCATCGCATAGAGTGGAAACGATTGGTGCAAGTGTGAGTTACTCTTATTTATAAGCAATTTTTCTCTCTGAGGAACGAAACAGTTGCTGGCCTGATATTACGAGCCACTGTGATTTCTACATCACACCGAAATTTTGGAGAAAAGTGGAAGTGGACTAGCCAGTTTCGTTGCCGCTGATTTTCAACGAGTGATATACCCATTAGTGTCAATCTTAATCGTTTCTAGGGTTGACTTCAAATATTCTAAATAATTAGTGTGCTAACTATTAATGCAACTTCGCTAATTTATTAGTGCTAACTATTAATTAAGTTACGAAATCAGACACAAATAGCACTTTCTCTGAATAAACATACTTCTTACATATTTGGATCTCTGACCCTCAAAATTTGGTGGTAGAAAAAATTGAATCAAATGTTGGGGTACTTGGATTATTATAACCATACTCTAGCTGCGTAATCGACAAGAGAGAAATATTCAGTTGCTAAGATAAAACAGATGAATTCCGTTGTTAGAAAGTAAGAATTTTTGTGGCATAACCTGTACTTATATAAGACCTCGTTTTAACTTTCATCTCATTATAGGTTCAAAGTTTTGAGTAAAACTGTTGACCTTCAAAACTCTACGAGGGATTCTTTCTCCGAATTCAAATTTTATTCCAACATTAAAAATTTTCAAAGCATAATTTTTTTAAATTTCATTTAAGAAAATTTCGAAAATAAGAAGATTTTAATATTTATGTCAGCATTGTTCACCCTTGTCAGCAAAAATAAATAAACCATAAGACGTTGTGTAATAATTGTACGACCCCTTAAAAGTGTTTATTAAAAGGTTTCAAAGTGTAATATCATTCCGCAGTGGCAAAGACCCAGTAGATCGCAGAAGTGAGAGGGTGGGTAACCACTCTGATCAGCTTGCATAGAAACCGGGGTTCCGTGGTATCGTTAAATTGTTCTTTAAGTGTTAGCTTTGAGCGCAGGGCTACCAAAGCATTCTCTTTGCAGATGATTAATAGTCACTGGTCTAGTGGTTACTGTACTGGACTATGGGACCACCAGTGGTTGTGAGTTCCAATCCCACTGTTGGCATGGATGTAACTTTCTGTGTTTCCCTTCTTCTGAGTGAATGTAACCCGCCCTGTACCCGGGTTTGCGGTTGGGTGACGCTACTCTTAGCCACTGGGTAACGATAAGTTGTTGTTGTAGTTTATTTACGTCACATCGCAATTTTGATCCTCTGATGACATCCCAGCTTCGGTAGTCGTCCGACGACCTGCAAGCACTTTACGGTAGAAGAACAATTTAACGAGGACCATTACCGCACACCCTCGGTCTCTTCGTATCGAAGTGGTCCCCCACCCGCACACTGAACGCCTCCAGTGATGCTTGACTTCGGTGTTCTACTGGAAACCGTGTCTTAAAGATCAGTCCTTTGCGGGAGGGTGACGAAAAGAGAGTAGCAATTCCGGCATTTCTGAAGCGCAAATAGATCCAAGTGCCCGCCATTAAATAAAAAATGGTTAAAACAGTAAATCATCCTGAGTAGGACTGGGTGATGTCAGAAATTTTAAATCGTGATACATCGTCAGTTAGACATCACAATATAGTGATGTATCGCAATTTAGCATAGGTTCAAAAATTACCTATGGGAAATCTTTAAATCAATCAAAAATAAATAAAAAGGAATAAATCTAGTACAAAAGAAAATATTAATTCTAAACATATTCTACTATGACATCAATATCATTGCTTAATTTTTTCAATTAAATTAATAAAGAAGTCAAAGTAAAAGCAAACCCAAGCTTTATTTCATTTTTCTTAAATTAAAAATGATTTAAGATTTATTGGTTTAAAAATAATAATACAGTAACAAATTATTTTACATACATGTATTAAAAATTAAAAGAAAAAAAAAACCAAAAAAATGTTCACTTTAGAAAATTTTTTATTTTTTATTATTTGTTGAAAAAAAAACATGCTTTCGAAACATCATTAAACCCTTTTTTATTTACTTATTTAATATAATAAAAAGTAGGATTAACTAATGGTCAAATTCTGTACTTAATAAATGTAAAAATATTTTTACTTATTTATTATTATTTTCATTTTTGAAAATAAAATCGACTGAAGATTTATTTGTTTAAAAACGACACTGACTATCGAACAAATTATAAAACAAGCAAGTATTGAAAGAATTTTAATAAAAATTTTAAAAAATACTTAAAGTACTAATGTTAAATTATTAAAAACGTCAAAACATTACTAAACTTCTTATTTAATTAAAAAAAAAATTGTTTCAACTAATAGCCAAATTTTTTTAAAACTTTGTTTTCATTTTCTCAAAAATAAAATCAAATTAAATAAGGGTAAGCTTTGTTTTAATCTTTTTATAATTAAAAACGACCGAGCATTTATTGGTTGAAAAACAATCAAATTATTATACTTAACTACATTTAATAAATTTAAAAAAACTAACTTTTTATAACAAAGTTAAATACAAAATACCTCAAATAAATTGTATCGCTTAAAATAAAAAACAATAATTGAAAAAAATCAATGATTTGATCTATTGAGTTCAGAACGAAAATTTACGATAACAGCAATTGCGCAGCAATCGCAAAGTAACAGTAGGACTACTAAAAATAATTGACAAGAATCGTTAAACATAGACAGAAAAAAAATGGTATGAAATAATGCAGAACGAAAAGATCGCTGAAAAAGTCTCACCGAAAATAACTTGCAAGAAACCCGACAATTATTTCCGACGAAATAAAATGCACAACGATTGCAAAATGACTTAAGTCCCATTGGAAATAATCTTCAAAAAAACGCAAAATCTCTAAGACAAAACTGGACATAAAGAAACTATGCATTGCGTTCTACTTATATTACAACGCTGATCCTCGCACGAAACCGAGAGTTCTGATTCAATTCGCTCTTCGTCATTCAACATCACAAAACTAACATCATCTTAATAGCAAAACGCTATCTACATCTCTGCAGCTAGACGAAATCAAAATCGTCTTCGTTAGCGTGGTAACAGCGTTAGCCTAGTAAAGGATACTTGCATATTAAATCGTTAAACCGCGATTGTAATCTAATTCCGGCTGCTTAAATCAGATTTCTGATGCAACGCCTAAAACGAAAGTCACTACATCGGTCTACTGATATATGCGTTAAATCAATATTTCGCGATGCATCGATTTATCGCCCAGTCATAATCCTGAGAGATGCTTCCCACGCCAGCCACTTTATTGCACTAAAAAAAGTGATATCTTTGTTACAGAACTTACGAAAATGGAGACATAACTGTAATACGTAGTGATTCCAGTCACAGCAGCTCCGGAGAGGAACTCGATGCAGCCCTATTGGATGAGAAGTCTGTCATAGTGATCAGAAATCGGGAATTGGGCAAGAGGACAGTCCTCTGGTTGTGTCTCGGCAGATGCGTGCGCCACCTGACGTTGGCAACTGTCATTGGGTCTTCGATATGCTGCGGTGGATTTTCCGAGAGCCTTTACGGGCTCCGTAAACCTCTTGCCATCTCAAGTGTTTTGTTTAATATTGGGTACAACACCATATGGAGAACAGATCCATTGAGTCACTACAGGTAAGCTCATTTCTTCGCAAATTTATATATACATGAAAGGGTAGCAGTCATGGTGAGTGATGTTAGGCCACGCAGATAGCAGTTGGAAGGCAAAACATATTTTATTAACTTCACATAGTATATTTAAGACATTTTCTAGCAAAGGCGGAGCTCAAAATCGCACTCAAAAACTGTGTGCTTAAGTTTTTATCTTAGGGAAAGTAGCAAAGGAATTTCCCTCTATTTTGTTATATTTGAGGGGAAAAGGGAAGTGATAAGGATTACTATTGGTTTATGAAAGAAATCTAGCGTTTCCCACACAGAGCATAGGGAGATATGTCCTGCTCTTAATTAAATGCATAGTTGAGCCAAAAATAGATTTAAGAACAGGATGTGGCTTTTAAAAGTGTGAGAAAGAATTTGGAATAGAATAATTAATTAGGAATAAAGTAGGAGTTGTTTCATAGCAAAGAAACTAACATGAAAAGATTAATAAAAGCTTTTTATATTACATACATATATAATATATATATATGTGTGTGTGGGTGTGTGTAACATAAAAAGCTTCTATTAATCTTTTTATGTTATCCTAATTAATTATTCTAATTGAAATTCTTTCTCACAAAGCCACATCACCAAGCTCTTTAAAAGCCACATCCTGTTCTTAAATCTATTTTTGGCTCAAGTATGCATTTAATTAAAAGCAGGACATTTTTCCCTTTGCTCTCTGTGGGAAACGCTCGACCTATTTGATAAACCAATTACTTTACTAAGATTTCCCTAAAATGAAACATTTTACGGATTTAATTTGCAAGATTCCCTGACATATAACCTAGAAGCACAAATTTTCGTGTACACATTCATGACTGCTCTATCTAATAATTAATAGATAAATTTTGTACCTTCCTTCCTTGCCTAAGACCTGTTTTTATCCCTCCACTCGGCAACGAAGTTATAAGTCGCCAGGATTGAACGGTCGGGAGGGGGGTACAGTACATCAGAGATATGTAATATCTCATTAAAATAATCATCTGAAATTTTGAAATTAAATCAATCGGAAGAGGGTACATCAAAAATATGGAATAACTTCAAATCATTCATTCAAATGGACAGTTTTTGAAATTTATCATTCAAATTCTTCTTCAACTCATTATTCATCCAGTATCTTTAACAAAAAATAAACTCTTTAATCATCAAACTTTTTGTTTATTATAAATTATACCTACGCCCAGTGGAACTCAACGATCATCGATTTTCCATATGTCTATGCTGCAAGTTACGTCTACGTTCTGAAGGCGATGGATACTACTAGAGAGCTGAGCTTCAATATTATTCATTCCCCTTGGACTAAAAAGAAAAACTGCATCGGACTCCTGATAGACGTTAAAAAGTTTTCGATTTGAAACCCCATCCCTTCCGTCAGGAAAGTGTTGATTTTGCTTCTCCCAGTGCTGCCCTGGATTTTATCGTCAATATATTGTTATCACCCTGGAATGGTTTACTTAGATGTTCGACATTCCCTCCCTCCTAGTCAGAACTCAAAGAAAAATAAGCTTCAATTTCTCCTTCACTCTCGGTGTTAATTTATGAACCATCTTAACGACGCAACACAATTTTTCACTAGCAGCTCTCGTCTTTGCTTTTGGAATTGTGTTCATGGAATTTCAACGAACTTTCATCCATGATGTTGCGGTTTTGAAAATATCTTCTTGGACTAATTCGAACTTTTTCACGTATCCTTTGTGGTACTTTCACAATTCTCATAAAACAATTTCTTTAATTTTTATTAATTAATAAATAAATTTTGCATCCTCCTTCCCTGCCTATGGCCTGTTTTAATCCTACCACTCGGCAGCGACGTTATATAATGTATATTGTACAGTAACGGTCGAAAGCTTAGTAGACTCACTCTTATAAATGAACAAATAACAAGCTTTTTATAGTTAAAATCACAACAAATTAACTTTATTTTGGTGAATATAGGTACACTTACGCGGCAAGAACTATAATTTTATGCATGACATATGAATTTCGTCCAAACGTGGAGTCTTCGAAATATCCTCCTTTAGATTTATTCACAGCAGTGCATATTTTTGGGATTCTTTCTATTAGTTTTTGCAGTGTTTTAGTTGAGATCTGGTTCAAGCAACTAAATAAAGATTCCCAAAGTTTGTTTTGATTGGTACATGGCATTTTTCTAAGTGGTTCATAGCTCAATAGGATTAATATCGGGGGATTGAGAGGACTAATCCGTGTATTTCAGTGCTTTTTTTCCTTTCTTTGGGTGCAATGCAGTTTCTACACCATTTCGATGAATGTGTCAGATCGCTGCAAAACAAATTCGTATCCCAAGATTCTGTGTCCAAATGAAGCGACGTAACGCTGCAATATTTTGAGATAATATTTGTTTAAAATCTATAACTCCCTCTATTCTTACAAGATCTCCAACTTAGTCACCGGCAAAACATCTCAAAACCATGACTGAACCTCCACCATGCTTCACTATTGGTAGTAAACATTGATTTATCATATGTTCACCACCTAAACAACGAACATGCTGTTTTCGTTTGTGGGCCACAGTTGGCCCATCCCTGGGCTAATCAAAATTGCGATGGCATGTCTTCGGATCAACCTCAGGGATGTTTCCCAGACAGTCGTCAAGAGCTTATTGTGAGCCACGATGGGTATGGTGATAGACCATTCATTTTTCAATGAGAGGAACCGGGTTATAGCTGGTAGACACGAATTGCGCATCCAGCTAGCACCGACCACAGTGCTGACGTAAAATATCCTCAGTGGTATACATACGCATCAGGGGTTAGAGTCCCCTTGCCGTCAGGCTTAACGTTGGAGGTTCTTGTGGTCTTCCTCTCCATGTAACGCAAATTCGGTTTATTCCATTAAAAAGTTTCGACGAAGGCAAATTTCTCCCCAATACTTGATCCAGGAGTTCCCTTGTCTTCTGGATTGGGTTCAAAATGACAAGGCTACGGAGTTAAACATTGATGGTCGTAAAGTCAAAATTGGGTCGGCTGTTCAACAACGGTTGTAAAATAAAATAATTGCGCAGCTCTGGTGCGACGTAAATTAAATACCTACCTACCATTGAACTAAAAGAACTGTTTAGTAACATAATATATGGCCAGTGGATTTACGTCTTTTTTCTTTTCTTCTTCCAAAGAATTGCTCAAGGTAGAGAGATTTTGTGCCCCATGAAGAAGAATAAAGAAAGACCACCCAACACAATACTTGTCCGCAACGAGGAACAACATGCTCTTATTCTCTACTCCCTGGCTTCAGTGGTTGCAGTTGCAGTAGCTTTCTGGAATGATATATCCACAGTTGATTTCAATGAATTATTTGGCAACTTAGCAGAGAATTGAAAATCATTGTAATGCTGAATCCATTCAAATTAAAGTTCTACAAACTAAAATTTTAGTTGTTGTCTAGGTTACCCCCCAAGTCAAATTTTTTGATGGTCCCATCAAAAAACTTTGATGGTTTATGTTAGTTTCAGTTTGAGTCATGATAGTCCAACATCATTTGATGATCACCATCATCCATGATATGGTGGAAAGTGCTACTTTAATATCATGGTAATTAATCATTAGAGAAGTTTGACTCTCATGGGCCAACAATCCATGATGGTTCCAAGTATACATTTTCATTACGGTTTAATGGGAATTCTAGTTGGTTCTCAGGAATATATCATCAAAACAATTGTTTTATGTTGGCCCATCATTAATCAGTCCGAATTTCCTACATTGAGTTGATGGTTACGTATGCTGGTTGCCATCCAAAAAATATAATGGTTCAATGATAGTTAGCATCAAGATTATGTTGGTCCATCAATGGATCATCTTGGTTATACTTAAGGTGAGCAAGATTTCTAAAATTATCTTATTTTTTATTTTATTAATAAATTTGTTTTTTTTTTTGGATATTTCATTGCTCATATATATATACAAAAAAAAAGATAAGATGTTTTCGAAGAAGTTCGAGAACATTTGAGACAATCAGTTTTTGAGGACATTTTCCGCCCTCCTTTGAGTTACATCAAAAGAAGTTCGAGGGCTATCTTTAAATTAGAGGACATCTAGTTATATAAGTAGTCTGGCAGTCTTTACTTTGAAATGAAATAGCGATGTCGACCCCAAGCAAAACATAAGATGATACTGTAAAAATGTATTTTCAGTTCAAACATAATGATTTAGGTCGCAATCCATTTGTTTTAATAAAAAAAAAGTTATTAAAAACACAAAATATTAACAAAAATAAATCTTTGAAAACAATTCAAAGTACCAGTTAAGATTTAAATCTAATACGACAGAAAAAATAAAATTTTTATTAAAATAATTTTTAGAAAATTAATATTTCTGTTCAATTTTTCAAGTATATAGTCATTGTATCGAAATAAATAAGCAGAGAAAAAATCTGAATATTTTAAAATCACAATTAAACATAAAATTAATGGTTCAGATATTTAATCAAGCCATATCGAGTTCAGCAGGTATTGGTTCTTTGCACCTTGCTGGATTTTCATTTTTCTTTTAAACTCTCTTGCCTGTTCTTCAGATTCTCTTAGTTTTTTCGCTCTTCGTGGTAATAACTGTGAGCATTTCCAGCTCAAGTATCATTTGTTTTGTTACCTTAAATAACCCTCCAGAATTACTAACAGCATCATAAAAAGTAATTTCCTTGCAAGTTATCAATGAGTAAAGCTTGAGCCATGATGGCTCAGGGAATAGAGCGTTCCAATAAGGCGAACAGGGTTCGAATCCCAGCCGATACGAATTCCGCATCCGGCTTGCACCGACTACAGTGCTGACGTGCGAGTGGTATACGGATCGTGACTTAGAGTCCCATTAGTGTCAGGCTAGCCGTGTGAGGTTCTCGTGGTCTTCCTTAACATGTAATGCAATGCGGATTAGCTCCATCAAAAAGTTCTCCAAGAAGGTAAATTTCTCCCAATACTCGATCCAGGAGTTCCCTTGTCTTCTGGATTGGGTTCAAAATGACAAGGTTACAGAGTTGAACATTAATAGCCGTAAACTCATGAAATTGGGTCGGCAGTTCAACGACAAAAAAAAAATATGCAAAACTTACTGAGTCGGGGTAGCCTGGTCGGCAGAAGACTCCCTGTGTGTGTGGGGGGGACTGATGCACGTTAAATCTGTGGTGTCACAAAGTCCACCATGTTCCAATAACAAATCATACCTCTGGGGGTACTGATCCAAGTGTTCCTTGTATTTTAAATTGTGTTCAAAATTAAAAGAATACGGAGTCGGACGAGGGATATAAAATCAAAGTTTTATTAAGGCTGAAACAACAGCAGCATTATCATGTGACATAATCAAAATATTTCTTATAAACGCGAATAAATTTTTTGTAGCTCGTGTTTTCAACCAAAGATGAACAGAAAATATCTAACTTTTCATTTTGAACCTAAGGAGATTCAGTAAACTTACCTGATTTCACTTTATCAGATGTTATTTGATTACAAAACTGCTCAATTTACGTAACTGTCAACATGGATAGGAAAAACTCCAGTAGATTTTACGAAATAATATACTAAAATTCCCTACAGGGAGTTTTATTGCCATTAGAATTCAAAAAAACTTTATAACACTAATAAGAATAAACTGAAAATTTTATACAAAAAAAAAAGCTTCGAACTGATTAATATGTTTATTCCCGTGCCTTGCTATACACATTATTTTTGTGGATATAGTTAAGCAAAAGAGAGGAAATTGGATATTATGTCCTTTTTCTTTCTTCAACTGATTTTTTAGTAATTTTGAAATTTCTACTTAGAATACACATACCGAATTTTAAGTCCATCTTTTGAGTGGAATGTAGCCATAAGCTAAGGCCACCCCTAAGACGAAGAATAATAAAAAATAAAACACATTTTTTGTTACTACAGATTGTTTTTTTAATCATTTTTGTATTTCTTTTTATGGGTCATTTATTTAAATGTGTAATAAAAGAGAACAGTGAGGAAAAATGAGTTTACATATATAGTGAACAGAAATTTCGGCCCCTTGAAGAGAACACATTTCTTTCTTAAAATTAAGACATGACAGTTATCTAATGGTTGTTTTAGCTGCTTTACATGGCCATTTATAGGGCAGACCCATTCACAGATCATAATTTGTTATGGTAACCAGACAGATGCACCATTTATTACACGGGAAGTTTTCGGTCGGCTAGTTTCGAACTCTTACCAACCAGGCTATCCTGTATCCACAATGCTTTAAGACTGTGCCTTGCTGTCAACTTCACGGCAGGATCCTTTTTATTAAACAGTCTGGTATCAAATGATCCCATTTTCCATTACATCATTTAGCAACAATTGTTAGGAAAAATAACTATGTTTTCATTAAAATGTAATATTTGTATAAAACTAACTAGAAAATGTTAAATGCATACTTTTAAGCTGAAAAGGACATTTTAATTTAAAGAACAAATAGAAAAAGAGATTGATCTCTCCAGGATCAAGTACAGAGCCCCCAAATCGAACAGAAAGTTTATTTTACGTTTCCTTCTTTAATGAACTCGTTTTATACAGAGTTTGCCCTCCGATGAGGTAAACCAGATTCCAATCAACGCTGCTCGATAAGAATCCACTTGCACTGACCACAATGCTGACATGAAATATCCTCAGTGGCCATGGGTTAGAGTCCCTTTACCGTCAAGCTAACCGTTCTCGTTAACTTCCTCCAAGAAGACAAACTTTCCCATATCCTGGAATTCCCTTGCCTTTTGGGTTGGGTTCAAAATTACAAGGCTATTAGTAGCCTTAAACCCAAAAAATTGGGTCGGCTGTTCAACGACAGTTAGTACAATATAAAATCCGTCAGTTCTATGTTAGCTTCTTCATTACTCCATCATATGAACACACACGAAAAACAAAATTGCGTAAATCCATGACTTTCTAGGGCGGAATTCTAAATTTTCGCATATACGCGACATGTTTACAAAATTACGAGCTTCTGATTGGCTTAAGGCATCGTGATTGCAAAAATTAATCTGAATTCTGCCCTAATGTCAACAAGGATATGATTTTCTCAGCTAGATGATAAAGGTAACAACCAGAAAAGTGCATTCGGCATAATGGACATAGTATTGTCAGAAAATGACTAAAATGGACAGAACGATATTTCGTCTGACCATTGGAGGGGGGAGGGACTTCACCTATTAGGTTCTCTTTTGCATACGATTATTTTATCACTAAACCCTTATTGCAAGCAAACTATGTCGATGCCAGTACATAAGCGCTGATATTTAGGATTGGAATTAAAGGCCATTCACACTGCATGTAAAAAATTTGCTTATGTAATGGAGAACCAGACTGGTGAAATAACCATACAATATATAGGTTTGCAAATTTGATTTACTCGTTTAGCTATCTACTCGAATAGCTCTTTAATATGACTGCACACATGTAGGAGAGCAATAAAAATGGAAGATTTCTTTTAGTTTTATAAAACCCAGTCCAGTAATAAATTCAAATGTCACTTTTGAACTTTTAAGAAAGTTGAGATTTTTATCACGGTCATAAAAACTAGTAAAAGATAAAAATTAAAACAAAGGGGAAAAAAAGATGAAAAAAGAAACTTTATTTTGAAATGCTAGAATATTTACAATAAAAGTCAAAACTATTTTTTAAAAATGAAGCATTTATTACACATCTGTGGTAAATGTTAACAACGATGAATGAATGAACAAAAAAAAAGGGGTGCATAGTATCTGTATGCAGTCACAGTAATAGTCCAGAGATCGTTTACCTTCCTTCAACTGAAAAAAAAAAAAAAAACATCAATTGATTTACTACATACATTAGGGGTGCACAGCCTTAATGCAACTTTCAAAAACTAAAAATATTCAATTTTTACATTAAGTTACATTTACACCCAACATAAATAAAAGAGTTTGCATTTTATAATTTTTTCAGGGTGCGTAGCCAAATCTTTCAATAAAAAATAAGCACCTTTTAAGCACTAAAAATATTTTTTAATGCACTACATACAATAACAAAAACCAAAATAATTTACTAAAACTTTAGATGATCAAGATAAAATAAGTAGTTTCTGGCTACATAAGCCACCCCAAAAAAAGATTGCGAGATTTTTCAGTTTCATTTCATAGGGTGGAAAATGAAGCCTGAAACTGAGAATCTCTTGTGAAGCAGAGTTGCACAGGAGAGTACAAGAATAATTCCCACTAAATCCTGTTCAGTACATGCACACGCAGACCCGTAAATATCTCACCAGACATGTTAAATAATTGGAGCTTTCATACGCCCCGGAACATTGGTACGCCAAAATGCAGTGTTTGTAAATGTTCAATCTGCTACATTTTAGATTTTGAAATTCACTTGTTAACGAAGTTACTATTTTCTCTGACAAAAACACAATAGATTTAAAAGAGCATTATAATAACATTAATTGAAATGATGGGTAAAACCAAAACTGTTATTAACTCTGCATCTTCATATTTATGGATTTTAAAGTTAAAAAACAGAGTAAAGAAAGAGTTGAAGCACTAAAACAGCTGAAAAAAATACAAAAGCAAATAATTTTTTTCCCTCTTTTTTTTTCTTAAAGAATTACATTCTACAAATACTTTTCTTGTTTATCTGAAAGGAAAGAAATACTCCTGATTTTTCTGTTCTCATTTCAGAATTAAAAAAAATTCCCCAAATGACTGGCTTCTGCTTTAGCTAGAATTTTAAATTGATAAAATAAAAAAAAATTCTGCAATAACAGAAGTTTAAAAGATAATTCGCTCTAGAAATGTTCTTTCTTTCATTTTTTGAAAGAACACCATAACTTTCAAAAAGCAGGATAAAAACATTTTATATTTTAATAAAATGACTGTGAGAGGGGATTTTATTACAAATTCAGATANGGGGGGGGGGGGAGGGGTATTTCTAAATTCCATTTTAAAAATTAGATTTTTCAGTGACCTAAATCTATGACTTTCCATAATTTTTCTTTAAAAAAAATAGTTAAAATCATGACAAATTTTGTTCAATACCGAAATTCATGACTTTTCAGATGCGTGGATACCCTGCTTTTAGTTAGAAGGCTGCACACACAGACTGTACTTTGTTCTCAGGCTACACTTTTAACATACAGTCATGAAAAAGTTATTATTGAAATTTTCTTTTAGTTAAAATTGGTATGAAACATAACTTCTCTAACTTAAAGATTTGACCAACAATGATTTTGGAAAAATTACTTATTTTATTTCCTTTTGACAACAACCTTAATATTTCAAATCCATGACTTTACGTACGTGAATAATTCCTAGAATTTTTCATGACTTACCGAAGTTACTATTTTCACCGACAAAAATAAAACGGTAAATTTAAAAAAGCATTATAATAACATTAATTGAAGTGATAGGTATAACCAAAACTTATTAACTCTGCATCTTCATATTTATAGGTTTTAAACTGAAAAAACAGAGTAAAGAAAGAGTTGAAGCAATAAAATAGCTGAAAAAAAATATCAAATATCTAAATACTGTCAGATATATGTAGCTATTTAAACCTATTTTATTTCTTCTCAAAAGTGTAACATAAAAAGTCTTAAACTAAAATTTTAAATTGATAAATAAAAATAAATAGATTTAAAAAAAATTACGAAATCACAGATGTTTTAAAAGAAGTTCAATTCGCTCTAGACCTTCCATTCTAAGAGTTGCCTCCCTTATCTCTTTAAGAAGTCACAGATGTAACATTTCTACCTGATTTCATATTTAACCATAATTACCACTCTGCAATGATTATTTTGTAGATTAAAATATAACTACTAATAAAATATTATAATAAATCCATTTGTATATTTTATAAAACAAAAATATTCTTTTGAAAAGAACTATAAAATTCTACTTTTAATATTATAATTGTATATGCTTATTTTATTTGTATTTGAGAACTTATCTGTTAAGGAGATAAAAGAAAGAAAAAGTTATTTTAGTCTGCACTAGGCACATGCTGAATTCTGAACAAATAACAAAGCTTTAATTTTTCAAAATGTTGAAGCAAGAAAAATTGTTAAATTAATTTAAAGTAACATACATATTTATCTAAATACACTAAGTTTTGATATGTTTATTTGCGTATTATGTATTAATATTTATGAGTCAAATAAGAAAACGATTTTTGATGAAAAGGTAGATTTTGATTATACTGTTAAAAAAATTTCCATGAGTCCAAAATTCCTTAATGAAATTAAAAAAAAAGAAGGGCCATTTGGGTGGGTCAAAAATTGTAAACCAAACAATGATTATATTACCGAATACCAATCTGCAAAGTATGCAACACTAAATAAAAGTGATTATTACACTTTTTATAACTACTAAATAAATGAGTACTAAATAAATGCGAATTCTATTTTAAATAAAAGTGATTACAATAAAAGAAAAATATCACAAAAAGGTTTCGGATTTGCACTTTTTAAATCTGAAATCACAAGAGTTTAAAAGATAATTCTTTCTAGAAATGATGTTTTTTCTTTCATTTTTTGAAAGAACATAATTTTTAAAGAACACGATGAAAACATTTTGTATTTTAATAAAATATGACTGTAAGTGGTGATTTCGTTACAAACTCAGATATTTGGAACACTGTGCGAAATAAGGAAAGGGTAAATAAATTCCATTTTAAAAATTAGATTCTCGGCAACCCAAATCCACGACTTTCCAGATGCGCAGATACCCTATTAAAATTAAAAGACTGTACATTTTACAAGTACAATAAATTTCCACATGGAAAAAATTTCGATTGATATATTTCTAATTTACACTGTATTTTTAAAATTAACATGTTAAAACATAAAAAATTAGCACATTATAAGAAAAAAGGATTCCATTTGCAAGAAGGTAATTTCATTTTTTGTCAGGGTGGGTAGCCAGATTTTTCAACAAAAAATAAGCACCTTGAAAACACTCAAAAAAATAATTCAAATCACTTTCATAAAAAAAATCAATTAGGATATGTTCAGTAATAAAACATTTTTCTATCGTTTAAGGTTCTTAAAATTGAAAAACATTACATAATCAATGATAAAATAACTAGTTTATGATTAATATTGAAGAGGAAATTGTGAAAATCATGTATTTTTTGTAATTTAAAAAAGACAATCGACACGGCAAAGAAAAAAGGCTCTTTTTAAAAGATAGAAAATTAAGTACTTTTTACAAGCCTCGAAAATTTTTTTCCATCTATGGGCTTTAAAAAAACATAAATTAAAAATAAGCACATCTGTGAAATAAAATGACTTACTGTAGGAAGAAATGTCAATTTCTTCAGGTAATTCAGAAATGTTAACATCAAATCTTTCTTGAACTTCATTCAGTATTTTGGCATCTGATTCATCAGAAACAAAAGTTATGGCTAAACCTTTAGTCCCAAATCGACCAGCACGAGCAACCTAAATAATGGATACCTAATTAGAGTACATGATTATACGTATTCAACATAATTTCCAATGAAGACTCCTTTAGAGAAACTAATTTAAGAAAACTTTAGTTCATACAAGATTTAAAAACCAACTCAACATAAATGATCTTTAAATTGGCATTAATATAAATTGAGACATTGGATTTTCCCATGAATATGAATCGTAATGTACAATTTTTAAACCACCTGAATTCGAATAGCAATGTGTAACTTTTAAATTAGATAAAAGCTATGGTTAGAACATTAGAATAGAAACTGGGATATAGAATTTTTAAAACGCGTAAATACAAATCACAATTCATAATTTTTAGATCGCGTAAATACGAATCATGATGCGTAACTTTTAGATTGCATAAATAAGAATTATGATGTATAATTTTTAGAATGCGTGAATGCGAATCCCAATGCCTTATTTTAAAATCACGTATAAATACGAAAATCAATGTTTGATATTATAAACCGCATGAGCAAATCAAGACATTAATTTTAAACTTGCGTGAATACGAATCGCTATATAGGTCTTTAAAAAGGCGTTAATACGAATCGCAGCGTACAATATTCAAATCGCGTGAATAAGAATCGAGATACAGTAAAACTTGTGTAAGTTGACCACTTGTGGTGCATTGTTTTAGTGGTCAACTTAGACAAGTGGTCAACTTATAGAGGGGGTGGGTCATTGTTTACTTTTTCGTTTCCTATATCATGTTGCTATATATTAAATTTTTTTTTTACTTGACTTTAAAATTTTATTCAGAAAATATGCAAATGAATATGTTAAGAAATGTGTTTAACCCTGAATGAACTTCAATTTGATACATATAATTCTAATATTTAACTAATTTTTTTTTAAAAAATTATTTGGTTAGTTATGCATGTGAAGTGTTTAATAAATATAATTTCTTAAAATATCAGAACACGAAAACATGTAATTTGAAAACTTTAACAAAATAAAATTATTTGAACACTTTAAAATTTATTTACTACACTTAAAGATCAAAGACCATAAATAAAGGATCAAAGCATATTTCAGAGCATTCATTTATTCAAATGCTCACTATTGCAACTGGAAGAGCAACTTTTCAACTAACACACCTGTTTTCAATGAACGGATGAAAGAAATGGTCAAAAGCTGACCCCTTACAGTTTCCCCTGATGGTCAACTCACAAAAGGGTTTAGATTAGCTTTTTACACTATTTTACCAAACAAGTGAAATTTTAACATACATTGCAAAAATGACAGAAAATTTTCTGAATTTTTTTTCCTGGTCAACTTATGAGGGTTTCAGAATAGAATTTCATAATACTCATAGACAAAATTGACTTATTTCAGTGGTCAACATACAAGATAGACAGATGGTCAAGCTACAAAGGTTTTGCTTCTTTATATTATATAGGGAAAATTCCGCTCTTGATAATTGAGGTCAACTTATGCAGGTGCTCAACTTACAAGGGTGGTCAACTTGGCAGGTTTCACTGTATTAGCAGATTCCAGGCTTGGGACCTCTAAAAGGCTCGTCAAAAGCAGCGTCGTTTGAACTACAAAAATCGGACCTATCTGGAGGGCGGGTAAAAAATTCGGAAAATCTTATCTGCTGCGAGTAAAAGGGGAGAAAATAGCTATAATAAGTAAAAATGAGAAAGGATTGCTAGCTATGTAGTTTGAATTTTCTGTTTCTCTTTGAAAATCGGTAAATTTTCTGAAAAAGCGAAATACTTATAAAAAAAAAAGTGAAATTTTTAGAAAAATCTGCATTTTTGATTTAAAAAAAACTGAAATTCAAAAGATAAAAGTGAAAAATGCGGAAATCCGCTAAAAAGCGGAAAAATCTCATCCCTGTATAAAATATGTTAATTTAAGCAGATTTTAGGTTCAGGCCTATCTAAAAAATTTTGGAAATAAAAATAGATCATTGAATCCATGTTATGATAGTTTCTTAAATTGGTTTAATATAATATTGAAGAACTGAGTAAGATGCTTTATTGAATTTTGTATGCTATTTTTTAATTAATCTTTAAAAATTTTATTTGTATGGTATTAAAAACATAAGTTTTAAATTATCTTTAACGTATATTATTTAATTTAATGCTGCACTTTTAATTCTATTGTTATACTACTTAAAGTGCCTATAATAAAATTAATAGCTGAAAAGTTAATTATTTATTAAATCATAACTGCACTTAAAAAGATACATTTATTATTTTATTCGAGAGATTTCTCGGTTCGATATCAGAGGGTGGAAAAATGATGTCTGAAATTGAGAATATCTTGCAAAATGTAGCAGAGTTGCACGAGAGAGTGCAATAATCTAACCGCACACGGCTCTACTGAGCTGAGTTTGGTGAGATTTTTGACGCACATGCGAAATCCCGGGTATTTCATTAAACACGTAAAATGATTGGCGCTTTCATACGCTACAGACTGGCAGTACCCTGAAATTGATAGTGGTCGAATGAATTGTGAAAACGTTGAATAAAACAATGTGAAAAGCACGCTTTTGCATATTATGTGGCGAAAATCGACAGGGTAAAGAAAAAATATCATTAAGCACTTTTTAAAAACACTATGCACCTTAGGAGACACCTCTATAAGTAATGGGTATTGAATCTAATCCTCTTTGTGGAGGCTGTGTCATTTTGAAGAGACTTGTGACTGTGGGGTAAGTATTGGGCAGAATAGACCCTATTCTGCTCAAAGATTTGAGCAATTAGGGCAACACTGCAAGATGTTCCCGGAAAGTGTCAGCTAAATTTTATTTCAGCCATAAGGGTTTTTTGCTAATCATGTTTCAGGGTTTGGGTATAATAGACCTCCGGTCGATGTGCCCTGCTCTTTAGATCTGCTCACTTCTAAATCTGTCTACCCCCAGAGGCACGATTTGTTATGGGAACATGGAGGGCTTTGTGACCGCGACAGATTTCACATGCATCAGTCACCATTTTCTACACTTCTTAGGGCGGCGAGGATCGAACCCACAACCTCTTGGACATGGGGCCAGTTCCCTACCAGCCATAAGTATTTTTATTTTTTAAAAAAAAACCCCATATAACTGGCGTTGAACAACCGACCCGAATTCAGGTTTACGACGACTAACATTTGACTTCGTGGCCTTGTCATTTTGAACCCAATCCAGAAGACAAGGATTAAGTATTGGGAAAAAATTTGCTTTCGTGGAGAACTTTTTCGATTGAACTAATCCGCATTTGCGTTACACGGAGAGGAAGGAAAAATAAAAAAACTCACCCTGTGCAAATAAGTATCTGAATCTTCTGGCATGTCGTAGTTAAAAACAATATTAACTCTCTCAATATCCATTCCTCTTCCAAATAGATTGGTAGCTACAAGGATGCGCTTGTGGAAATCTTTAAACTGCTGATACCTGGATAACCTATAATTATATATAAGACACTTTACAATTAAGACACAAAAACGAGTCTCATTATTTTACAAAAAAATATATACATAAATAAAATAAATGGAATTTTTTTTAAAATTTTTTCAATGTTCAGTAAATTCTTAGAATAGAAGCTTTTGGAGTGGTCAACAGTGAGTCTTTTCCTGTCAGAAAAAAAAATCATTTTACAGGGGTTTATTGTTTAAGAGAATATCGTAACATTGAGAGGAGAATAACAATAATTCATATGAAAGCTCGTCGGGACCACAAAATATTATTGTAATAGAGAGAGAGTTATTGTTGTATCGTGTATCGAGTGTTCACTATATATTATTTTAATTCTATATATTATTTAATTATTATTTAATTTCACAAAAATATTAAATTTAATTTTGTATATTTTACTTTTAATGTATATTTTTTCACTTTGTTTCATCTTTATTTCACAAAAAAATAAATAATAATAATTAGCCTTTTTTTTAATGTAACCTTTACAATAAATAAAATAAATGTAATTGTTTTTTACCAATGTACAGTAAATTCTCACTACTATGATATCCAATACCACAATAACTCCCTGCATTACAATAATGTTTTGTGCTCCCGCTGCTACGATTAATGTTATCCACATCTCACTATTGCGATATTCTCTGAATCAATAAGCCCCATAAAACTATTTTTTTTCTTCAAATTATGTAAAAAAATCTTATTTTATCATATTTTGTCTCTTCTGTGAAGAGAAGTCTCACCGCTGATTATGTACATATTTCATTTCACCATAGCTTTTGTATTCCGATTTTATTACTCCATCCTTTATGTACATAGACCACCCCAAGACCTTCCATTCTTAGAGTCTCCTCCCTTAAGTCACATTTCTACCTGCTTTCATATTTAACCACAATTACCACTCTGCAAACTATACAATATATGTTGTTGTTTCTAATGCCACCTGCCACACGGGCAAGCCTGTTTGATGAAACCAAGCAAATTTAAGGCCAGAGTGTGCGATTCTTGTTTTTCAGTAGCATCACCTATGGCCAAGAATTAGACTTCTGCCACACAATACGTCGCACCCGCTTATAGGGCGGACCCATTCATTCATCCACAAATCGTAATTTTGACCTGAATCAGAGATTGATCGATCCAGTACCCCCAGAGGTATTGATTTGTTATGGAAACGCGGAGGACTTTTGCGGCTCGACAGATATAACGTGCACCAGTTACTTTACCACAATGGGAATCTTCAGCCGGCGGGGTTCGAACCCACGGACATGGGCTTAGCCCCTCCATATAATATATAAATAGATTTATAGTTTATACCTATATATAGCTGCCAACCTCTAGTAATAAAAATGCAGAAATTAGACAAAAAAAAGTGCAGAGGATTCGCAACTGCAAACTAATTACTAATAAATTTATAAAAAGAAAGCTTATTTTAATTATTTATAAATCCACTATAATATGAGCATAAAAAAGCAATATGCTCTCCTTTTATTAAAAAACAATAAGGAAAAACATTAGTAATAACATGCTACATAGTCATAAGTATGATAGATTGAATAATTTTCAAATGATTATTTTAAAAAAATCATTGATTTAAATCAACTAATTTTTTTTATCTATATATATTGATTTTAAAAGTTAAAAAACAGTGTTTTAAATTTTTGATACTTTTATTATTTTCTTTTCTTAGTATTAAAATTTAATTTAAATAAATTGCTGCATTGATTAATTTTAGTTAAGGAAATTACTTTTTTGGTGTGTGTTAAATTCCAACACATTTGAAATTACATTTTTAAAAATGTTTTGATTCTTGAGATTGAAAGTACAGATTAAAGTAAACATTTAATGCTGTGTTAATATAGACTTGCATAGCTGTAGAAAGTAATTAATAAACATGAATTT